AAGAGAGAAGAGGAGGAAGGAGAGGAAGGACAAAAACATTTGTCCTTTTACACAGTCAAAAAAACAAAAAAAAATTATTTGGAATTAACTTCAGTAAAATGTCAGTGAAACACAAGAATGGACCGGAACCTGGAATCCAAGGGTCTTGGTTTTCGTGCTATTGTTTACAGCATCACACAAAGCTTGTGGAAAGTGCTATCTTAAAAGGATTGATGTTGCTGCATAATTCATTGTTAGACATAATGGCAGCCTTCACTTAATCCAGCACTTTGCAAAACACATTGTTCTAAAATGTTGACACACATTGTCTCAAGAATTTCTACTACTCTCTGCATGATGTTATCATCCATATTTTAGGGTGGCGGAAAAGCACAAAAATAATTCATCCAAGAACAAAAATGGGAAATTGACAGAACAGAAATCAAGCCCATATCTGTGAAAAGCAAATGCTTTTGCTCTTCGTCTCAAGTCTGCAGCAGGTCTTCATTTACATACACATAAAAGTTAAGGTAAAACTAATATACAGACTGGCTATGCTTAAGTTAATGGTTATTAAAATACATCTCCATGTCTGCATAGTGAATGTTCTTTTTTGTTGTTTTATTTTGTTTTAATTTTTTTTATTGAGAAAAGGAAAAAAAAAGTATCTGCCTCCTCCCAACCTCCCATTTCCCTCCCCCTCCTCCCACCCTTCTCCCACTCCCCCCAAACTCCTCTCCCCCTCCCTCTCCAGTCCAAAGAGCAGTCAGGGATCCCTGCCTGTGGAAAGTCCTAGGTCCGCCCCCCTCCATCCATGTCTAGGAAGGTGAACATCCAAACTGGCTAGGCTCCCACAAAGTTAGTACATGAAGTAGGATCAAAACCCCGTGCCATTGTCCCTGGCTTCTCATCAGTCCTCATTGTTCGCCATGTTCAGAGAGTCCGGTTTTATCCCATGCTTTTTCAGTCACAGTCCAGCTGGCCTTGGTGAGCTCCCATTAGATCAGCCCCATTGTCTCAGTGGGTGGGTGCACCCCTCGTGGTCCTGACTTCCTTGCTCATCTTCTCAACATTAGCAGTTCCCAAAGACTGTTGCACCTGTCCAAACAGTCCTGTGGAGAGAGGTCTTCAGAAGCATGGCTTTTTATCTCTGAGACAGGTAGAATCAGGGGCAAAGCAGGCAACACCTCTCCTATTGATGGTATGGACTGATAAATGGGAGAGTCAGAAGGGCTCCATAGTGTTGAACTAGGCTGAAGAATCCCCAGGCCCCATCCTACGCCCTCTGCTATTTTTAGATCCAGGCTTCAAGTGAGCACAGACGTGAAAGCATCACTAAAAATGTCTGCTTCAGCTTGTTGTTGTACAAAATGAGAATAAATGAGTCCCCGACAAGGTATAACATTGTAATTACTACACCAATTATCCTGGCAATCTTAGGTGCTGGTAGAAAACGACTGAATGACAAAATTAGAAAGCAAAGAAGGTAGCCTAGGAAGAGTAAGAGGAAGGAGAAGATGATTCTGATGGCTCGTTTGTGAGCCTCAGTTCTCTGATCTCTGGAACCAATACTGTATTGCTGCATCTGCTGTGTGTGCTTCCCCAGAGAAAGGAGGAGCAGAAAGTAAGCAGCCAGGGAAACAATTAAGGGAGGAAGCTTCCACAGATTTACGAGGACATGCATCAGATCATATTCACTTGTTTTCAATCTGTAGTATTCGGTCATATTGGATATGCCTCTGTGTCCACTGAGGACAGAATAGATTTTAAATTCATTAGTCAGAGAAATGGTACAGACACAGGATAAGAGCAGTGCACCCCACAACATTCCAACAACCACCCTGGAAGCTCTCCATTTGAGCCAGAGGAATGTGGGGTGGGAGAAACTGGCTATTTTCAAGCAGTAGAAAACACCAAGACAGGAGAAGAGCCAAAGACTGAAGTGGTTTGTAAATGTCCACGAAACATCAATAAGTTGCATGACTATCCCTGAGTCGTGGGTATGGTAAGAGAACGCTATTATAAGGCCCTCAGTAAAGATGATCCACAGCAGAATGATTCTGAAGAGGGCCAAGCTGGTGATGATAAAGTCAGACAAAGACATTTTCTTGCTCTTAAGCCAGTGGCTGCCATTGACCAACCCAATGAAACCATTCACCAGATTTCCAAGAATAAACTCGGTGACAATGAGAACCAGGAACACCCCTTCAGTGAATCCCAACATATCAGAACTTAGGTCAACCTCCTCCTGCTTCTGTTCATGGATCTCATCTCCTTGTCAGTTTTAAGTTTTTTTCTGAGATCTACCTCCTCCTGTTCCTTCACTGCATGATTTAGTCTGTCTTACAGCTTTGTGGATCTGCTCTGGTCCTCTTCACAGACGGAGCACAATGTCATTTCTATGATCTTAACAAACCAGTTCCTAGTTAAAATGCAAATAGTGGCTGGTGTCACATGGACAAGGAAGGCATCTTAGTCGCAAAGAATATGGAGGACTGAGGCTCAATTTCGGAGGGAGCATGCATTGTGATTTGAATGCAAAACATCTCTGATCAGCTCATGTGTTTGAAAACAAGGTCCCCAGCTGGTGGTATTGTTTGGGAAGGTTAGGGAAACCTTAGGAGGTGGAAACTGGCAAGAGGGAAGTGCATTACTGTCACCAGAGGTGATTGGAATTTGATTCTTGTACCATTTTGTGTTCTCCGATTCCCATACAATATGATGGGCTGGCCTGCTGCACCCTCTGGAACTATAAGGCCCAAATAAACCCTTTCTCCCATAAGATATTTTTATTGGGGAATTTTATCACATTAACAAAAAAAGAAACAACAGGAAAGTGGTGCTGGGAACCACCCAGAAAAGAAAGATGAATAGTAGCTAAGGGAAGCATGGAACTACCTAAAACATAAGAGGGAAACAGGGAAATGCCATAATTCTAGCACACTGTAACATTTAAGAGCATAAAGTTCAGTGTTACTGGTCATAAAATCAGCTCATTTATTAAAAATTACTTAGCCTCAACTCGTGAAAACATTGTCAAGTTTTGAATTTTGCAAATAAGTCTCAATAGTCAAAAATTAACTTTGCATAAAGATTCAATTTTTCTCCCTACCCCCAAATGAGTAACAAATTTTACTGGCATCATATGTTGAATAGCCTATGCCACATACTACTTTTATTGGCTATTATCTCCACATAAGCATGATCAATTTCTGGACTCTGTTATGTGTCATTACTTTGCTTTGTATCCACATCAACAGTATACTTCCTCACAGTACACACACACACACACACACACACACACATACACACACACACATACATACACACACACATACACACACACACACTCACACATACACACACACATACACACACACACATACACACACACATACGCACACATACACACACACATACACACACACATACACACACACATACACACACACATACACACACACACATACACACACACACACACACACACACAAACCTTAACTAGCAGAGCATGGCCTCTAGCTCATTCTCCAAGATGTTATTCTTGGGCACTTGCTTGTCAAAGCATCTTCAAAATCAGCTTGTTGTGTGTCCCCCAAAGGATTTCTAAAAATTGATTTAAATTTCTTTCCAACTATAACGATGGCAATGTTTCCAATAATCATGTTGTACCAGTGTCTTTTAATGTGTTTTAATAAGGTTTTATAAGACTCCTCAGAGATCATTCTTCAAAGACTTTATATTCTGATATTCTAACACTTTTTCAAAATTAACTTTCTTTGATGTTGTTTAGAACTTGACAGTTGGGTATTCCTTAATTTCCTATAACTCTTATCTACATTTATTCTTGATGTAATCACAGCATTTGTGGATCACTTTCTCTCCATGATCCTAACTCTCATAACAGTACTTGCTAGTGTTAGTTCAACTATGTTGTTAAGAGTGCTCCTCTTTCCATAAAAAAAAAAAAAAAAAAAAAAAACTTTTAATGTTTAAACACACCTTTGGTACATAGTATTTATTTGTAAGCCACAACGTCAAAATTGGTGCACCATTAAAGAACCCTTTGTTCTGTGATTGTCCATGTTTTAGTTCATATTTTTAAGATGTTAGACTGAGTGGTTTTCTTTCTGCAAGCCCAATGCTAGGGACTGCATGAGGTCCCTGTTCCCCAAATCCATGCAGTCCTTGGCCTCCTTGTAACATACCACGCAGAAAAGCACTTGGAGATGACATTTTTAAGGAGGACACTAAGGTTATGTGAGATCAGAAAGGCAGGGCTCTGCTACCGCAAGCACACAAAATAAAGGGCAATTGAACCCAGCAGGACAGCCGCCACCAAGCTAGGAAGTCTTCTCCAGAATGATCATGCTGGTCCCTGAGCACAGCTTCCAAGGCTAAAAGGCAATGTCTGTTCTTCTCACTACCAATCTGTATTTCTTCCTGGCTGCCTGTGCAGACCAATAGACCTACCAACGTAAAACAAGCTATTCTGCAATTAGGAAATCCTCCCAACTCAATTCTCTAATCTGCCATCTGGAAGGGAAATATAAAGACTTTTTTTTTTTTTGAGACAAGGTTTCTCTGTGTAGCCTTGACTGTCCTGGAACTTGCTCTGTAGACCAAGCTGGCCTCAAAACCAGAGATCCACCTGCCTCTGCCTCCTGAGAGCTGGGATTAAAGGTGTGTACCATCTTATTCTTAACCTACCTATTCCCTTAGGAGGGCTACAAAGGTTCCTCACTAGGAACTATAAGAAAAATTTAGCTTGACAAAAACAAGAACAAAAACAAAAAGTTTGCTCAGTCTGACTGCTAACGTTTTGTATATTTTTCATGTCCCAACTCCCTCCCCAAATTCATAATGATCTGAGTTTAAATGGGAAAGACTATGGGATCACTGATGTCTTTCTTACTTCAACTTGCAGTATAAGAATATATATGTATATATAGCAAAGATGTAACCATTTATGTGACTATAAGGGTAGATGTTTGTGAATTTGTAAGGAATATATTCAATTGCACACAAACACAAGAGGTTTATTTGCATCTCCCAAAGAATTCAGAGGTAGGCTGTCCAGGTATGCTCTGGTGGTTGTTTATCATCACAGACTTGGCTTCTTCCATCTTCTACTCTGAAGACTACTTCATGCTCTGGATGGCACCTGGACATTCAGCCAGCATGTTCCCATTACAGAAAAGAAAGAACAGGTCAAGGAATGAGAGTCTAGAGAAATACAAAAGACACATTTCCAATAGTTCATCTAAGAACTCTCCTAAAAGCTCTACCAAACGACTTACACACAGCCTTTAGGCAATCCAGAACCACAAAACCAAGGATGTAGTATTTGAGTTGTGAATATTGTCATTCCAAACAAACACCAGTTCTGTGAACACAGAAATAATGGATAATGAGTAGTGTATTAATGACATTTGTAGCCTTGAATTATCAGAGCCCAGAAAGGGAGCTGTCCTCCCAGGGTTATTTTCTATGTCCCTTGCCTTGCTTAACTGTAGACCTTCCAGCAGATGTCCACCCTCTCAAGTCTGTTCCAATGCAGAAACACGGTGGTACTGTCTACTGCACACCCGACAGGAGGAAGCTCCAAATAGCATGGCTGCTTTTTTCTCTTACAGCTACTAGATGCCAGACAGAAACTGTCCATTTTTCTTGACTTTTTCATGTGTGCATGTGTATGGTATACCCATGATAGGGTACATATGCCCATGTGTACATATGGTGAAAGTTCATATTGGTTTCTTCTGTTGTTCCCCACCTTATTTTTTAATATAACCTGCAGCTAATCAATTCGCCAGAAAAGCCCTGGAAGCCTCCTGTCTCTGCCTCCTGACACTGGAATTACATGCATGTACAACTGTACTGGGTTTTTTACATGGGTTCTGGGTATCTTAACAGCAAGCACTTCACCCACTGAGCCATCTCCCCCAATCTTTTCTTGAATATTTCTAAGCTACAGAAAGCACAGGATCAGACTGAAACTAGAGCATAAAATGTGTTAAAACTATCTGAATTACAATTGTTCCTCAAGCCCAAAGAGGGATACATGAATTTCCCTGGGAAGGGAAGACAGAAGATATCTCCTAAGTCAACTGGGAGCGGGGATAGGGAAGGGGACACGAGGGACTGGGATGAGCAGGCTGGGGGGTAGGAGAGAGGGGAGAGTAGTGAAAGAGATGTCTTGATAGAGAGGGCCAAGATGTTCTGAACATTGTTCTCATTTATGATTATGTCACAAATATTATATATAGCCTCTTCGCAGCAGGCCTATGAGGTAGGTACAATCACCCATTTTACTTAAAAAAAAAAAGAGAGAATAACCGAAAGCAGAGGAAATCAAGTAACTCACATTCAGCTGGTAGGTGGATCTGAACTGTTGGACTGTATAGCCTTGCCTCTGAAACTTAGTACTAAAGACCACCCTTCTTTCTTTTAAAACAACTCATAAGACAGAGAAAGTTGACCTGGACACTTGTATAGCAAAATAAGACCCGGAGGTCTAAAACAAGCAAATGATTGGACAATTTTTAGAAATTAAAAAAAGATGCTTCCATAGTGTGGCTGCACGACACTGCCAGCCACAGAAGTCACCCACTGTCATAACATGGGGAGCCAAGAGGAGACAGAGAGAAAAACTGAGGCATGAGACCAAGGTTCGATTCTATTGGTGCCACCATTTTCTAAAAAGTGAGCCTGAAAAATTGATTTCAATGCTAGGTAAGTCAAGAGTAAAACCAGCGGACACCCCGAAGCTACTCGACCTGTAAGGAGACACCTGCTTGACACAAGGAAAGTGAGATTGTCCAGAAGCCAGCAGAGGAGCTGGGATTTGTTTTCCTATAGGATCACCAAGAGAGTAAGAGTACAGATATTTCCTTCACTCCTAGTTCTCTCCCTAACTGAAAACTACTAATTATCCCTAGTATATTGGGAAGTACACCGTATGGGACACACCAGTTTAGCAGTGGGAGATTACAGCTACCTAAGGCCAGCGGAAGGTGAGCACTGAGCAGAAAGCTAAATGCATCACTCACATACCTAAGTTCAAACTCCCACTGTGTGCCTTTGATTTTAACTTTTCTGTGTTTCTGAGCTTCATCTGTAAAATGAGACTGCCACTTTCTTCTTGGAAAGCAGTTACTCACATGGTACAGACTCATCCAGTGGGCTCAGACATGTCCAGCATTACTGTGATTGCTGCCACTGTCTCAGAGGTTTCCCTGTGACTTACTAACCTGAGGGGCTCCTTTGCTATGATTTGTCTTGCTGTCACTCCCACCAGTCTTCACAGCATATAATGCAAATCCTGAAAGAAAGTAAGTAAAATGATCCCGCTCTCATTTCCATGCCGATGAACCAGCACAGCACAGTGTGCTAGCCTGAGCCAGATGGGGACAAAGGGATAACTGAGTAGGGAGAAACTAATTCTAACAATTAAATGACCTCTTTTGGGAACAAGGGGAAACTTCTTGATAACTTTCTCACTGAATATTAAACTTAGCCTATAACCTAGTTGGCAACAATAACCAATCTCTCTAAATAGCCTAGCGAAAACAAATGTGTTTTGGGTTTGAGGCTGTGTGAGTTATCCTCCATTCTGAGAACTGTGACGGAGGTAAACAGGGTCTCACGCTGGCCAGTCTCTAAAGTACAGCCTTCAGAGCTATGTGCACACTGTTACAAGTGAATGAAGACAAACGACATAGCATAGGAAGATGCTGAAGAGCAGGAGACATAGCATAGGAAGATGCTGAAGAGCAGGGGGCTGTGAGCATGACAGCACTGACTACAGGGTGAGCAGGGCTACCTCTCCATGGTTTGGAAGCATGCATGGGAAGTATGACATAAGGAACTAGACACAATACGCTAGAGACAATCAGCATTTGCCGCTTATCTTTCCAGCCTTTTAAAGCACATCTATTCGCCTTACTTTTGAAAAATAACTATTTTTCAAAATTAGATACTACCACACATGCCATTAGACATTTTTCTCCTACCTTTCATCTTTCCATTTAACATGGAATAAAATCCCAAATCAAACTCACTAGTAAGTTTTCTGTAAATTTATACCTTGATACATAATCACATAAAATATAATCACATTAAAAAGGGAGCTTACAAGACCCCAAACTTGAATTACAAGTCCCTGTAGTCTCAGGGCAGTTAGATTCTACAGGTTTGCTCTGTGCCTGGTCCAGCCTGGGAGCAGTGGAGTTTCTCAGCAGATGGGGCTGTGTGGGATTAGGTGTCAGCAAACCTGACAGGCTTGGGATTGGCCAAAACCACTAGGAAGGCAGAAGCGTCAGCCTGAGTGAGAGTGATGCTGCCTCCACCTTGCGGCCTGTCAGAGACTGGAGGGCAGGCAGTCTCCAGCTCATGGAGCTGACCTGCAGGATGCACTGCACTACTTCAACATCCGAGACTCGGGAACAGCTTTGGGTTAGCTCTTATACAAGATCAAGTTTTTTCCACTTTCACCTTATTTTGTTGCTGTTGTTTTGTTTTTTTGCAACAGGGTTTCTCATTAGCTATGGAGTCTGTCCTAGGACTAGCTCTGTAGACCAGGCTGGCCTTGAACTCAGAGATCTACCTGCCACTGCCTCCCAAGTGCTGAGATTAAAGGCGTGCATCACCAACACCCAGCTGCTTTCCTCTTGTTTAAACTTCACTCAGAAATACACATAACCCCTCACTAAGTTTAGAATTATAAAAACTGCTTTGCTGAAAAAGGCATGGCAGTTGCTTAAAACAGACAACTGTGCCACCAGATTCAACACGTGAACACATAAAGATCTAGTATGTTGACCAATGATCCCACTAGCAGAAAAAGTAGGCAGATGGGAAGGACAGCAATCTTCTACTGTCCCTGGGTAAGGAGAGAGTAAAGCTAAGGAACAACTCCTTCCTTCAAACAAACTGCACTGTCAGTACAGAAAGGCTGTTCATGTATGCAGGAAACACTTCAGTAAGCCAAGAGTCCATAACACAGTACGTGAATTCTGAACTTCTTACTAATATAATCTAAGCTACAGTTGGCACCAATTCTCAAGGCAAGGAACGAATACGCAGGCTGGGTTGGGGACCAAGTTGGGAGCAGTGTGGAATAGAAGGAGGAATTCTCAACACTTGAACAAAGCAACAGATTGAGCAGTAGACAATCTCTGGAAAGCTGCAGGCTCACTATCGTACAAATTTTAAAAGAAAAGAAATATAAAAACTCAGTTTTCATAATCTTTATTGGCAAATTCCTAGTAAACTTAAAATGAAATTAGCTGTACATACTCTGTAGGGAGGCAAACCAAAGGTATTAAAGGGATCCCTGAAGTAGGTGTAGCTCAGTAGGAGGGGGCCTGCCTAACTTGAGACTGTAGGTTTGATTCCCAGTACCACAAAAATGACCTAAATTTTCACCCTCAAGAAAGAGACTAAAGGAACTAGAGTAACTGGAGAGGAACGGTGTCAACTCTACTTAGACTTCACTCTGGTCCTCAGGGCTGATGAGAGATCTGATAAACACTACAGAGAGATGACCAGTAGACAAGATATACGAATGGGTGACTCCTGAAGCAGTCCAGATGCCATATTAACTGTGGCCTCCTTTAACTGAGTGGCTCTTCCGTGCCAACACGAGTACGGGTGCAGGCACAAAGGGCAAAGTCAGTACTTACCATCAAGTCTACAAAGTCAAGTGGAGAACAACAGCATTTACAACATGCGACAGACTCCGGACACACAAGGCTAAAAATTAACCAGTGGCTGAAACAGCACAATGCAAGTGTGAAGCAGAAAAGAAGGCCTTCCGGACAAGCGTGTGCCTTGGCCACAGCACACATGGTGGAGCCTGAGAGGTCACTACTTTGTACACTTGTATAAAGCAATCACTCCTAAAAAAAATAAGCAACTAGTAAATGCCATAACTGACCAGAAATACAGAGGGTTATTTCACACACACAAAAGAAGACATGTCAGTCAGGAAAAATATTATGACTCATTTTATATAAAAATTTTTAATCTTTATGTTTAAACTATAGACTATACATGATTTGAAAAGGAGACTGTAGCAAACAATGATCAAAGAAGAATCATCCGCTCTATGCCTTTTCTTTTATCTGGTCACTCAGAAATATAATGTTATCTGGAAAGAAACCAAAGCGTAAGAGTTAGTTTCACAATGCTATCTTCATTTCATTTGACAATACCCCTCCCATACATCCTTTAGGGGTATTATATAATTTCAAAATATTAAGTAACTTTTGTTGTGTTCATGAGAGGTACACAAAAGGGGCATAAAATAAATAAATAAACAAACAAATAAGTACAACAGGCTGAAGCTGTTTGTCCAACAATTCAGACTTCGTTCTAGGATGAGACCACTAAGGTCTTCCCCAACATACTTTATACACAAGGTAAACATCTACAGATGCAGCCGAGACTAGTACGCACACCCATAAACAAGAGGACCAAGAAGACATTCCACATGCTACAAACATGCAGCAACTAGTATGCCCATGGCCACCTAGCAACTGCAAGTTTACTTGCTTTTAAGAAGATAAAATTATTTTAAATTCGAAAAATTAATTTCATATACTGATTTTTTTGGAAAGGCTTTATGTATTACAAAATAAAGCATTTTTATACAAAACCAAACTAACAAAATTGGACAATGTGATGATTATTCCAAAGAAAATTAGCTAAAAACAAGCAAAGATAAAGAGGTTACGGAGCATTTCTTGAATAATGCCAAACATTTTAGACCCTTGGTAACTATAAAATCATGTAAAGACAGTTATTGCAACCGTCACTTCATGACTGCACAGGACGAAGACTTGAAGGAATAAAATGGAAGTCACTATCAAAAGCCAAGAGTGCCATCTACTGGTGTGCTTCTGCTTTTGTTTTAAAGTTAAATATGGTCCCTAGGTGAAAATGGGTGGTGGCGCACGCCTTTAATCTCAGAACTTGGGAGGCAGAGGCAGGAGGATCTCTGTGAGTTAGAGGCCAGCCGGTCTACAGAGCGAATTCCATGACAGGCACTAAAGCTACACAGAGAAACCCTGTCTTGAAAAACCAGTAAGGAAAAAAAAAAAGAAGATGAAGGAGTTGATAAAACTGAAAAAATAAACAACAATAAAAAACCTAAAGATTAATTTAGGATGGTAAACATACTTTTGAAATTTTTAGATTAATCTCTATATTTGCTAGTGTTTACAACATGAAAAACAGGACTTGCTTTTGAGATTATATTAATATACATAAACAAAAAAGTTAAATGTAATCAGAAAAAAAACATCAAATAGGTACTATCTTCCAGAATCACTGAGTGCTCGTCAACAACAGAGTCGCCTGAGCAGACCAGTACCCACCATGACAAGACACTGGAACTGAACAATGTGAGCTGTCTCCATGGCTTAGTCTGTAACACCTCAATCATTCAAATATACAGAGTTTATCTGTAAACCTGGCTTACAGTGGAACACAAATGGAGTTTAAAAAATAGCTACATTGGTTTTCAAAGTCAAAATATTTTCCAAAAAAGATTACTATTAGAAAAATGTGATTATTGCTTAAAACAACTTATAATTTACCAATATGAATAGTGGTTAAGACATAAACAAGTAAAAGAGAAAGTTTAAAAAAAGAAAAGAGTTTAGATCATGAGGAAGCTGGAATAAACCAACAAAAGTTGAATATAGTGACAACTCTTTAAAAATGCTACAAGAGGCCCATTGGTGGTGGTGCACACCTTTAATCCCAGCACTCGGGAGGCAGAGGCAGGCAGATCTTTGTGAGTTCGAGGCCAGCCTGAACTACAGAGCAAGTCCCAGGACAGGCTCCAAAGCAGTACAGAGAAACCCTGTCTTGAAAAACAAAACAAAACAAAACAAAAAAAAAAAGTGGTTTCTTGGTGTTTATATCAATAAAAACAGAATAACTAAACTGAGGTTTTTAGTCACTTATTCAAGAATAAAAATATCTCATTAAAAGATGTATTTTAATAACATGTTAATTTGCATTTAACATTAAAATTTGTCAAAACAAATACTAATGAAAAGATTACTTTTTTAATTAAATGATCGGAGTCAAATTGGTAAGTTACCTAGACTTCAATACTCTACATCTAATTTTATACAAAACCACTTTTCACATTAACTTACAGATATATAAACAGCTGTACTGTTTTCAAAGTTCAGAAGTTTCAACTCTCCACAGTGCACTTCAATCTCAAGCTTTATCTCTATGCGTCCACGTTGTTTTATATTTTGTTTAAAGACAACAAATGTTTTTAAATTTCAAATGAAGTTGCTGCACTTTAAGTTTCAAAGTTTTATATAAATCACAAGTTCCTAACATCACATCTCTGCAACTGCCTTGGCACATGCCTATTCTTATGTGTCTTTAAAGGACACTAAGATTAAATTCTTCCAAGGCTTAGCAGCATGTACTCGAATGAGCACCTCGATTTTATACTCAAAGTTCCTCCTGAACTAAACATGTGAGTATAGAGAAGATTCTGAGAATAATAAATAAATGGAGACAGCCTTAGCAAACAGTAAAATAAAATCACAAAGGTCCACTGGAGAGGTCCCTGCAGCATTGACAGCATGGGTACTCACAGCCCCAGCGAACGCTGCTGATAGCACGCCAAGCTTTCCAGTGAGCACAGACAGGAAAGCCATCTACCACTGCTTAC